TTATCAGGTGCTAGATAGTAAACTGGACAATGATGCTCACTTCCTCATTTTGCTTTCTGACAGCTTGGGGACAAGTTGGATGAACCACTGATAAAATGGAGCATAAAAACAATGTATAAAGAAAAATTAACACTTTCTTCAGTAGTTCCTTCGTTTAGAGTATTCATATCCTCTTTATAGATCAAACTGTTTTGTGCTCATGAAATAAGGTATATCTAGGGGAGACCTGCCGACCCACAAGAGACTATGCAAACACAAAACAGCTTGTAAAGGTCTGTGTGTGCAAAAATCTGAGATCGCTGAACACATGACCAATGCAGGACCCTCAGTAGACTGATCCAAAATACGCTCTCCGGGTTAATCGGACTTCATGACGAAGCATAAGATTAGAGAGCCTATAGAAATTAACCAAATACCCGACGTCCCGAATAGGAGGAACGAGTGTAGAAAACTAAGTAGGAATGTTTTGTGGCTGTTGGATAGACTTAAGGAAAGGGAGAGAAGGGATGCAGGAAGAGCCTCTGAGCAAGAGGCTGGATTAGCCTCGTATCTAGCTAGGACTATAATACTACCAATAGCATGAACATTACATACACACAACAGACATTAGCATAAGCCTAAACATTGTTCAGCATTAGGTGATCATACGCCAGTTTTGTGTGATGAAACAGTTGCCACCCAACGCATTTTCGGTTCGGGAAGTTAACTCCACTCATTTGCAAGCATGTAGAGTAGGGTTGAAGTAGCCAACGAAATGAGGGGAGGACTCAGGACCCCGATGTTAGGTGTATGAAAAGCAACTAGGGCTGCAGCAGGCCACATCTTGCTCTGATGTCTGTCACAGTACGGAGGAAATCTTAGCAGTTTCATCGGGGTCGCAGGACGCTGAGCACAATTCACCAGTCTTCATCACGCAACAATCCTCCGGTTTCCGGTGAGACCACATCACGAATATCTTCTAACCAACTTTCCCTTCGAAATGGAGTCATGCCGTAATGTATACAATAATGCCATAAAGTTTGGGATAAATAAAAGTCAGTTGAAAAATGTGAAGCACAATACTATAGCATTTCATCTTAAATCGTGAAACGAACAGAGAAAAGGCTTCAAGTAGTAATCAAAAAATCTTCTAAAGTTCTCTCCTAACTTTCGCCTTCTCCGCTTTTATTTTTATTCTGTTCTCCAGAGTCCAGATTCTTTTCGAATACGAGAGCCTCAATCTGAATGGAGATCAGTAATTCAGTCGGAATTAAGCAAAACAGCAGCTCCCTGCAGAATCCAGTGCGAACTGTGATCCACAGTAGGCATATCGAGACTCGTTACGAGACCTTGATCCATCTCATTGTTACGTCGTGATGTCGTGTACACTGGGAGATTAACCGTATTTGTCAATTTTAAACGATGTTGTTCAATTGGTAAGAGGCGCACGACCGGAAGCTCCTGGAACAGTTGTTGGGGCGCCTGGTTCACAAGGCAGCAATTCTGAAAATGAAAGAAAAATATAGCAATGATTATATTCGTCACTTCATCTGCTAAGTATTTCAACGTATTAACCTATTTCATAGAGGAGTTAATTATAAAGTAGCTTTCTTAACAAAATTAGATTTGAGCACCAATAATATAACAAAAATAATCTCTCCAGAGTAGGACCATAGACATGGTACATTCCCAGACGTTTCGCCGGCATCATCAGTGAGTCTCGCCATTCTTAGCACCATTCAAAAACTCGACAAAGAGACAAGTGAAGCCGATCCTTTGACCATACGTGTGCTAAACAATTGTAGTATCTCTCCTTCTGCCCTGGGCTATTCACATTTCCAAAATCATCCTATCACACCTTCCCTGACACAATTTTTACCGTGCTTATTTTGATGTAGTGTGGTGTGCTGCTTCGAGCGGCATCCATGAAAACCCTTCA